GTATAGGAATATTGGGCTCGATCACCTTCTCCTTTATCCTATATTTTTGCCATCGATATTTCCTGGAATTCTATAAAAAGTGGGATGCTCGCAAAATGTGTCGAAACAATTAAGGATATCCTGTATAATTCTCAGAACAGTATACCACCTGGAGGTAAAATTGGCATCATTACTTTCGACAAAGATATTCATTTTTATAATTTGCAGGTATTTATCTGTTATGTTATAATTTTTAATAACAATAAAGTCAATATTAAATATTTGTTGCATTTTAAATAGCCGCAGCTGGAACAGGCGCAAATGTTGGTTGTATCTGATATTAATGATGTCTTTGTCCCGCTTAGTTCGGGGCTTTTGGTTGATCCAACGCAATCCAGGTAACATCTTCGTTAATAACTTTATGCTAAGTCAGCAAAAATATATTAATGTCAATTTTTAACTATTAAGACTCGTAATTGAAGGTCTCTTAGATTCTTTACCAGCAATGTTCGCTGAAAATAAGATTATAGAACCTGTATTGGGTGCTGTAGTTAAGGCAGTTCACATGGCTTTGGTATGGTCAGCAGATTAAAATTTTATACTTTATTTATCGTTTTAAACGAAGTGCTTGCCACGAATATATTTTTTGTCTATTTTGTTTAGAATGAAACTGGTGGTAAACTCTTAATATTTCAAACAGCACTTCCAACACTCGGACCAGGGTCTATAAGGCACCGCGAAGATTCAAAGCTTTATAATACTGATAAAGAAAAGACACTATTTGGTCCACAGGATAATTATTATAAGACATTAGCAGTCAATTGTGTGGATTCTGGAATTTGTATCGATTTATTTCTATTTCCCAATACGTATATTGATGTTGCAACTATAGGTAAACATGTTTTTTTTATTATAAACACGCAGATAACATGATAGTATCTATCAAACGCTAATATATTATATAGGATTGCTATCATGTTTAACTGGAGGTGAGACTTACTTTTATCCCAACTTTGATGCTCAAAGAGATGGGGAAAAATTCGTTCATGAGTTGAAACAGAACTTCTCCAGAGAATTCGGATATAACGCGCTTATGAGAATTCGATGTTCTAATGGTTCGTGTTTTACTTATACTTTTTAAATTAAAATTTATGTTACGGATATTTAATTTTGATTTTAATTTTTTATTAGGTCTCAAAGTTGCTGATCATTTCGGCAATTTTAACATGCGAAATACGACTGATCTTGAGCTTGCGGGTATTGATAGTGACAAAGCATTTGGTGCCCTGCTTAAATATGACGGCAAACTAGACGAAAAAACAGACGCGTATATTCAATGTGCTCTTTTATATACGACATCGTCGGGACAACGTCGAGTGCGGACTCATAACTTAAGTGTTAGCGTAACACAACTTCTCGGTAACGTTTTTAGGCACGCTGAGATGGATACTACGGTGAACTTTTTAGTTAAGCAAGGTATGTCCACTTAAAATACTTGATATTAAACATGTTATATTATTATTGTATATGTAATATTTATTATTTTAATAGCGGTATCAAATACGTTAAATAAGTCGTTACGTGATATACGTGATCAGCTGACAGACAAATGTGTGAAAATACTAATGTCTTATAGAAGGCACTGTGCATCTTCAAGCTCTCCTGGTCAGTTGATATTACCTGAGGCGTTCAAACTATTTCCCCTGTACGCTTTAACGATGTTAAAATCCAAAGCTCTTCGGGGTGGTAAGAAATGCAATTTTCAACTTCGTTATGTACTTGTCTTGCTCATTTACAAAAAATTGATAAATGTGAGAATTGTAGGTGCTAACCTTACAAGTGATGTCCGAGTACATTGCATGCGTTTAATAAAGAGTATTGGTGTATCGGAAAGTATCGCACTGTTTTATCCGCGACTTTTTCCCGTTCATAATCTTTCTGATCAGGTTTGTTGGGAGCTTTTTTCTTTTTTCTTTATGAAAGAGGCAAAATTTTTAACGTATTAATGCAGGTTGGATATCCGGACCAACGTGGTGTAATCAAATTGCCTCAATTAATACGCGTGTCATATGCGAGATTTGAGGAGAACGGAGCTTATTTATTAGGTTTGGAAATTTTAATATCATAAATCCTATTGTATTTCGGTATTGTACACATTCTGTTGACAATTCATTTTTAAATATAGAAAATGGTCAGGTGCTGATGTTTTGGTTAGGTAGACAAGTATCACAAGATTTTATACGTAATGTTTTTGGGGTTGAATCCATCGAACATATTGATTCAAAAATTGTATGTTACATGTTTTATTTCTAAAGCTTTGCATAATTTTATTATAATGACTTTAATCTCTTGCCTTAATAGAGCGTCCTTCCTGTCTTCGAAAATCAGACATCGGTGCAAATACGTTCTATCATAGCACATTTACAGTCGCAGAGGTCAAAATATTTGCGTTTAACGATTGTAAGAACGCAAATAGACCCTTCAGAAATTGAATTCAATAGCTTGCTTGTTGAAGATGAGAACAATGGTGCTATGTCATATGTTGATTACTTATGCTACATTCATAAGCAGATTCAAACGGAAGTTAGTCTGAGTGACTAGGGTTGCGACCCAAACTTTTTTGAATATGACATTACTACGTAGTTTGTGTTTGGAAATCGGGGGTTCTATTTCATTTAGGATAATAACTAAAAGATGTCCATTTTTTCGGTTAATAGTGTAAAATTTAAAAACCAATAAAATTTGTCAAATCAATGCTATAAATTATTAAAACTTTATTTCAAATTAATAATTTGAGGGATTTAATGACTAAGCAGGATATATTGAATAGTGATTGGACCCGGTATTATTAAATTACCCGGGTTATCCGGGTAAGTTATTATATATTTCGGGTAATCGTATAGTAACAATTTCTACCCGCGTCCAATCCCTACAATAAATCAAATTATTAAGCAGACTATTATTTCGCGACTATAACTGCTTCTCAGACTAGTTTGAATTTATTATATCCAATGGATTGAAAAAAATTATCAAGATGCATTGAACTCTCAAACAGGCTCACGCAAACCTCTCAATCTACAATTCTGATCCCAAACAAACACCAATCTATATATCCAGTATACTACAGGATGTACCTCTGGCTCAACAATGTTATAACAGCAAATATCTCACTATTTACAATCCCTTACATAGACTAATAAGGTTGTTTTATCTATTTTAGCAAAAGTTTAGATCAAAGGTAAAGTAGCTTTAGCCTCTAATTTTCCATAGATTAAAAAACAATACATTATAATAATATTTGTAATATTCTATGAATTCTAATAAAAAAACAAAAGCATAGTTTTGTTTTTTAAGGCCATATAAAAAATTTTTTCTGTTTCTCATAACCCGGCCGGGTCAGTAGAAAAATTTAAATTTTGGAGGCGCAGCATAGTATTAACCAATCAGATTCATCAGTACGCGAAAGACTATTTAGTTAAATGAATAAACCGGGTTGTCCCCATGACTGTAATCACCTGACTTGTCGTTCTTTTTGAAATTTTATTGGTTAATTACTCAAAATTCCTATCTTCGTGGACACCCTCGTCCTTGCACGTACAGTACAATTTTGATCTAACTACTTCGCTCTCTTTTA